TTGTTATTAAGTCATTTAATTAATCATTAAATAATTTTAATGTTTATTAAGTCATCATATTACAACCTCTGGTTAAATTCTGGTTAAACCTTTCAACCTTGAATAACATCTTCTATTTGTTTCATGTCTAATCCATATTTTAGAAACTTGCACTGATATATTTAATCAATGCAAGTTGTTGACCTAACTTGACTCGATGACCCTTGTTAATAGTCATGAGTTGTTAATAGTCATCGAGTTGCTTCCTCCAAAAGACCTAATATACTTAGTGAAATCTAATTAAATTATCTATTTCAGATCGACACAAGCTAACAGATGACCCTATAAGATACATTGAGAAGAACCAAAAACTTGATTGCAAGTCATTGGGGAATATACAAAGTCTAGCTCTATCTATAATATAGTGGTGCTAGCGCTATCCATGTTAACGACCCAATCAAGGACCATGTGTCACTTCCTTAATAGCATTGAATTTTGAGATTGATTTGTTTGATAAGATTGATATGATAGTAATTCCGTCGTGAGCATGGACCAACTTTAAATTTGGTAGCATTTTAATGCATTTAATTAGCTTAATGCAAGTATCAATGTTTTCTCTAAACACTGCAATTTTCTTATTATATGAATTTTTAATTTTTTATGGCATTTTCATATAGTATGGGGACATTGCGCCTTTTATATTTCAGAGAGGCATTTATAAGGAACATTTTTTGGATCCCATTTAGATGTTTTTAGGGACCAAGGAGAGGAGGCATTAGGATATTAAGGGGCACTAACCTTGGTGATTTGGTATTTGGGGTAAATCTCAGGATGGGATCTCAAGAGTTAAAAGGGCTAATGGTTAAGAAAGCTTTTCGGTTGAGCTTTGATGTCACCTTCACCAAGGAGATTTAGCCTGAGCTTGACGGAAATCTCACGAGTTGGTTGGGCTAATGGTTATGAAAACCCTATGCTTGAGATTTATTGTCACAATCACCAAGGAGATTTAGCATGGGCTTTTAAAGTAGCATTTTATTGGTGGCAAATAAGAGCTTAATATACATGGAATGATATTGAGATGGGTCATTCAACTATCTTTTGACAACGCCATAGGCATTTGGGTCCATTGTGAAAGTTTTTTTGCCCGAGTTCTTAAAGCTTCCTTTAAGTAAGGAAGTGGTGAGACTCGATTCAATCCAAAGACTTTCAAGAAGACACCTCCCTCTAGTTATGATCAACATATATTTTACATATAATCAATAATAGTGGTACGTAGGTTTATTTAACTTTGGATTGATAGTGAGATGCATTGAGGCATTTTTTATAGATCGGATGGTGAAGTCATTAAAGTTGGTTGTCAACCAAGCAAGACAACTCACGAGGATAGGTTAGTTATTTATTTGAGTCTCAAATTGGTTGGTTGGTTGGTTGGTCCTTAGGATATCATTGTAATCATTTTTAAAAGGGAAAGTTGGAAAGACTCCTGATAATTTGTTTGCAAGAGGGTTGACATTTGAGTTGGTAAGTTGTTATGTGACCCACTAGAAATTAGATTATTCAGTCCAAGGCATCTATAACCCATCGGGGATTAAGTTTAGTTATAGGCCTTCAATAGTTCAATAGACTTCATTATGTGTGCGAATTTTAGGTTGGCATAGCAACTACCTATGGCTTTGGGTTTTAGGTTGTTAGCCTTGCAGTTGAATTGGAATGAGCTCCACTGAGAATAATCAATTTTTTTTTAGTGGAGCCAGTATTGAGTTAGTAGACATGCTAGCATGTTTATAAAGGAATCAATCTAGTCAACCTCATTGCAAGGGAATTAAGGGATTCGATCGATTCTTAGTTTAATTGAATCCCAATAGGTAGTTTTGACTTAGTAGTGATAATTAAGTATAAAGAAACACCTTGGGAGTGAAGTAGTAGTTTATCCATATTTTGGAGATGATGTTATTTTAACCACATTCAAAAAATATAATTTAATCTTGCATCAAAGTGATGGGGAATATTTTAGGAGCACATTAAAATCATGGTCATTTTAGCTAGTAAATTATGTCAACCTTTTTGTAAGGGAGACAAAAGATCTAATTGGGGTTGTGTGTTTGATTTCATCCAACAAAAATGGTTAACCTCATCCCAAAGGAATTGGGGGTTTAACAATTTTTATAGAGCATTAAATGGGTACAATCTCCATGTCATTTGGTGAGATGTAAAGATGGAATCAAGGGCTAAAAGACCATCATCTAGCTAGGACAAATAAAGAGCCTTAACATGGACTTAAAAAAATCATTAAAAAATTATAGCTAGAATTTCAATTTTTGGTTTAAAAATTTTGAATTTAAACCTTCTATTTTGAAAAACCACATGGAAAGCTTTGTAGTTGTTTAATAAGTTTTAGGATAACTACGAAACTCCTTTGGTAAGGCATGACTTGCTTGGCATTCAAAATTGAAGTCTTCTATTTTGCTAGAGTGGTTCAACTCCTTCCTTCTTGTTTAATCAGCCCTCTCTCTCTCTCTCTCTTTGAATTTTGAATTAATTTGAATGGATGTGATAGATAAGTATGGATTGAAAAGAATGAAATTCAGCTTTGGTTGTGCTTAGAAAAAATTTGAATAATTGCATTTCTCTTGGTTGGAGCATGGGCTGACCTAGGATACTCCTTGATGTGAGGTTTATCTTTTTTTTTTTTTTTTTAATATTCTTTCTTCTTTTAAATATTCATCCACATTATCCACAATATCCCAAACATCATCCAAGGCCAATCTCCAACCACTGCAACCATAAAAAAGTCAAAACCCTAACCAGAAGCCCTCAGCCAAACTAGGGTTCCTACTAACCTAATTTTGGCTATACTCCCTCCATCACCCTTTAAAACCTTTGACAGTTCACCAAAAACTCCATAACTAACTTCCACATGCCCACCTAGCATTCTCAAGTCACTACATATCCCATTAGCCTTCATCGATAATTCCATAAATCTAAACTAGGCCAACCAGCCAAGCAAGACCTTCCGAGACCTAGACTTAAAGCACCTCCACCAAAAGGCCCTTAATCCTATTAGTTCGATTCACTGCTCCAGAATCCATCTAAACACATAATAATAACCATTCCAAGTGCACCTAAGACATATTTGCCCTCCATTCCATAGCACTAATTTCCAAAACCTAAATGAAGAGCTGTGACCACTCCCTTGATCCACCACTTCAAATAACTCTCGCTCACTACTCTAAATGTTATTACCACATTGAAGAAACCTTATTATAGAAAGTGAAAGCCTTGGTCCATTCTTTTCCCAAGGCTACATCAATGTTGTATGCTTTAGTAAACTTAAGCGATCATTGGGTTAATTGGAAATCGTCCAAGTAGAAATTTGGGATTAGCAGGGTAACTGGGCAAATTTGGAGTTGACTAGCATTTGACTCAGTAGAATTTGGGGGTTGACCAATGTTTGGCAAGGTAAATTTGAGTTGAGCAATATTTGACTTGGTAGGATTATTGATTATTCAGATTGAGGGTTGTAAAGATTAGAGAAATGACTCGTACATTCTGAGATCATCACTGACCATTGTCTCCCAAGGTCACAATGTGGATCCCCTTTTGATACAGTAACCTAAATTAAACCTAGCAATATCAGGTTATGCCTACATTAAGAACTTTTAGGGGTCAATAAATAAATTGTAATCATTTGATGAGAACCATCCACATACCGACCTCATAACATGACAAAATCCTCTCTTTAATAAATAATAAAGACTTTGACAATAACATTGGTGATAATCAGCATCACCCTATAAATGATAAAAACTACTATAAACAAAGTTTTAATGATAACATCTTGATTTGTACCAAAGATTTAAGCTAGAGTCTACCACATTTTTATAGCTAGCATGAACATTTTTTTAATTCATTTAAAAATCAAAGACTACTAAGTTAGGCATTATATAAATCATCATTGAAAAGTCAGACGTTTTGTCAAGCTATTAGGTTTTGAAAAAAGATTTTAATGTGAAATCATTGCAAACCTCATCTTAATATTGAGAGTTGTGCTGCAAATGTGATATTTCTAATTGCTCCTAGGTAGGTCAAAGGGATGCTGGAAGCTTTTCCTAATTTTTTAATAGAGGAGATGAGTGCTTGAGAGGAAGATAGGGGAACAAGAGCGTGTTATGGGCAGGATAGAGGGATATGGGTTGAGTAGAAAGCAAAAGTTGGTAAGAGAGACAAGCTATAAGAGGGGGTAGAGCAGAGAGGAATAACAAACTTGTATTTCATTATTCAAGCATAAATAACTTACAAGAATGAAAGGTCTTTTTTTTTCATGATATGACTTACAAGCATTAGAACCCTATAAACAAACAACTCATGACTAAAGGCCCAATGCTTGTAATAAGCAATCTACGATTGCTAAATTGAAAACACATTGGCTGCACTCAAACTCTAGTTCCTCCTATCTTTACCCATTCCTACCCCTATTTGACCACCACCCCTCTCTCCTCCCATTTCTCCTTTCAAACTCACATCTATTTCTTCCGAACAAGAATAAGAATTGATTAGTCAAGTCAATCATGTAAATCAACTAATTAGTGAAGTAAATCATTTATGTTGTAATTCTTTATGAATAGAGCATCTAATTTTATCGATCATGTAAATCAACTAATTAGTGAAGTCAACAAATACATCTCCCCATCAAACTATGATCTAGTATCAACATCCCATCTTAACGAATGTTATTTTGAATGGTACTTATACCAAGCTATCCATATTAAATCTATAAACACTGGAATCGAAATACAAAAGCATTATCAATTCATGCCATGCTTAAAATTTACCAACCAAAATACTTGGTCTATGTATAAAGGAATGAAGATCATTATGAAATATTATATTCATCGAAAAACTTTTACCCGAAGCATGGTGTAGCAGTATTGTGTACCATGTTAAAACACAAATAATATGCCCATATACCTTTTAAGCAAAGTGTAATAAAAGCAAGGAAAATAATGAGCAAAGAAACATACATTTAAGCGATTAAACATCCACCCTCGACGAAGACCATAAAGTTCTCTAGAATGATCTGTGACAGGAAGATGCAACATAATTGAAGATAAACTTAAACAACTTCAGACATGAACACGAAAAAATGCGTTCGAAATCACATACTAAAGAACAATATAGAGAAAAAAACCGTTTTCATAGGTGTGTGAGGGTGTTTGCATGTGTGTACATATCAGAATGAGGAAGAGGGAGAGATTACCATGTGATAAGTACAAAGATCGTTGAATGACGATAGCATAGAATGCTACTGCATAGAGAATGAGGAAGAAAAGCTCACTTCTTTTCCAAAACAAAGTACTCATCTCTACCCCTCACTCCTGAGAAATCAATGGGAAACAACTTTATCTCAGATTGCTGTAGTCGCCAGAGCTGTGGTTAAAACTCCAATTCTAATAGGAACTCCAAAAATCCTTATTATCTATTAAAGAAAAAACTAAAAACTAAAATGATCAGTTAAATAAAAGAAAACAACATCACAACGATTTAAGTAACAAGGAATTTTTTTAATATATACAAAGTAAATCTAACGGCATAATTAGATGTGAATACCATCGATCAAATAATATGTTTAGTTCAATGTTATTGTATTTAAGGATGTAGGTGTTCCTAAAAGTGCAAATGTTTAGTTCAATGTTATTTATAGATTCTAACACACTTACGATAATATTACCACCCCCCCCCCCCAAAAAAAATAACTTTTTATAATATTATATTTATTTTGACTTTACTCTTTTACACCCATATGTATACTCGTGCGGTATGGAACTATGAATTCAAATTTAATAGATTATTCGGCATCAACCAAAAAGAATATGCTCTCAGGAGCTCACAAACCATTAAGTTTTTCAAAAGCATCCCTCAACATGATGACATCGTGTGCTAGCCCTTCCCACCAAGCCAACACATACACAAATCTAAAATTAAAGTTCACTATCACTGACACATTTTGTATATCATCAAATTTTCTGCCTCAAAAAGTAGTAATTTGATATAATGGAATATCTATGATGTGTGTTACATCTAGTGGCCCGACGCAATCTTATACTAAATCAATACATACTATACGTGGAATAATATTATATTACAAACTTGATAGAATGGAATATTTATGATGTATCTTTCCATTACTTGAACCACAGCATAAATGTGGAGTTAGTGGCAACCTTCTGATGTAGCATTTAATTTTCTTCCTCAAAAAGTAATAATTTAATATGATGGAAAATCTATGATGTGTTCCATCTAGTGCCCCGGCACCATATATTATAAATACAACAATATTCTATTATAAATTTGATCTGGTGCAATATTTATGAGGTATGTTTATCTTACTTGAACAGTAACATAAATGTATAGTTAGTGGCAACCTATTGATGTGTCTCCAATGTTTGTGGGGTTATAAGTTCATTTTTTAAATATCCAAGGTTTTAAAACCCATATTAAAATAGCAACTAACCCTTTCACCAGCATAGTTAAACATAAAGTTGGATGATCTAACGCACATACTTTGACCTAGCATGTGAAAAACATCCCCACATGTAAAATAGTTCTAAGTAAACCTCTCAACTTAAGCATGTCACATAGCTTGAAAATTGAAGAATTTCTCATTTGAACCATAAATACAACTATCACACCATTAACCTCATATATTTGTCATAGTATATGCTTCTCTCAGCAAGAACACTTACTTTAAGTTTGTTCAACAACCTCGTCTTCACTTTTTTCCCCCTCGTGAAGGGAAAGTTTACGCCACACATTGTACACAACTTTAGTATTAAGATTCACCATGATAAACTATACAACAACCGATTAAGAAGTAACTTAACTAGACTTTTTTAATTATTAATAAACTAATAGTCTATTTTATGTTCAAATAAGAAACCTAATATAGTTGTGAAACTTCATACCTGAGATTTAGAAGAATGCAGTGGATAGCAAGGCACTGACTCAACTCTCCTATAACCGGTGACCAGAGAACTTCATTTGTGGCTAGGTTCCCTCCAGCAACCTAATTGGAGCTTATCCCTACCATCAGCCGGGGCAAGGGCCCGTTTCTTCTCGTCGGATCTGCCAGCAGAGGGAGAAGAAAAGCTATCGCAAGGATTCCTGCTGCTCCTCTCTGCGAATCGACAAAGAAGGATAGGATTAGAGTATAGATGTGAACGCAACAGCTCGCAGCTTTTCTCCCAGCGCGATTAAGGTGAGGAGAACTCGATAAGGATTGCTGCCAGCAGCTTAACGTGAGTATAGACAATAGACATTATACAAGAGAGAGGAGTTTATCAGCACTTTTCTTTTTAACTATAAAAGCAGAGGAGAATAAAGTTTTACGAGAAGCATCGTCTGAGGGTAATAAGCAGCAGGATTTTAGCAAAAGTTCAAGTAAATCCTACCAAACGGTAAAAAAAAAAAAAAATACAAACTTTAGGGGTTGTTTGCTAATAGATTTATGCAGGATTTATGCTGAATCCTGACAAATGGGATTTGAGCGCCCCCTAAATCTCACAGCAGAATAAATCCCCCGTTGCCCCCTTTTTGCAGTAAATCCCTGACTTATTAAATCTTGTAGTTTGGTGGATTTACGGGATTTGGCCGAAGAAGCACGTGACAAGGAGAAAGTTATCTTCACAGCTAGCGAGCTCCCATCATTTATTCCGATCAAAATGTTGTAACATCCGATGATAACGTCGTCGAAGGAGCGAAGTCGAAGTGCAACGAAGGAGCTGAAGAAGCAAGTCGCCCAATCTCTACGGGGGTGTTTGGTATCGGATTTATTAGGATTTACGGTAAATCCAGCCAAACGCAAAAAATGGCGCGATAAATCCGGCAAATCCGTAAATCCCGGATTTGCCGATTTACGCCGTAAATCCGCTAAATCCCGGTAAATCCTAATCCCGCTAGAAGTCGGATTTACGGGATTTGGCCGAAGAAGCGCGCGAAAGGAGAAAGTTACCTTCACAGCGAGCGATAGGGAGCTCCCGTCGTTGCTTCAGATCAAAATGTTGTAACGTCCGATCCGACAGGAAGGGAACGTCGTCGAAGGAGCTTAAGTCGAACAGCGACGAAGTAGCCAAGTCGAACAGCAACGAAGGAGCCGAAGAAGCGACTCGCGCAATCTCAACACCTCCTGCGAAGCAACGAAGGAGACCAAGAAGCGACTCGTGCAATCTCAACACCTCCTGTGAAGCAACGAAGAGGCTGTCATTACTGGTTAACTTAATTAATATAATTTAAAATAGGGATTTTTACATACACAACACCTGAAACTACTTAAAATACCTATTCAACACCTAAAGTTTCATATTTACTAATATACCACTTATTTCTCATTCTAAACATTAGATATAGCACTCCGTTCGGTTCCGTTCCGTCAAAACCCCTCTCCCCGAACCCACTCAATTTTCCCGCGTGAAAGCTTCGGCGAAACTTCGTCGCCTCTTCTTCACTCGAGCAGGTACGACTTACAGGATTTAGTAAATCCTACTAAAATTGAATCCAATCATATACCAAACACCCCCTACAACTGCGGAACAAAGACAAACTGTATCGATGTAAACGAGAAGATAAAAAAGCAAACCCTTGAAGCATCTTAGGGGTGCAACTGAGTCAAGCCAGCTCGCGAGCTGACTCGAGCTCAACTCGTTAACAAGCTCGTGAGTCGAGCTTATCGAGTATTGAACTCGAGTTCGAGCAAAAATTAGAGCTCGGTTTATTATCTAGCTCGAGTTCGATATATGTGTTGTTCGGCTCGATAGCTCGTCGAGCCTGTCTGATTAAAACACGGAATTGCGACTCGTGGGGGGATGGATTTAAGAAATTTAATTTTCATGTGGAATGAAGCGGGACTACGGAATGCTGGGCAGGCCAAAATATGAAATGAGTTTGGAGTAAATAAACTATTCGCAATTTCGAATGAGTCGCAACTCGCGGGCATTCGAACTAGGGCATTCCTTCGTCGGTTCGTCCTCGTATGCTGTTCTTCCTCCATTCTCGATCGTCTGTTGTTCTTCCTTCGGAGCAAGAGGCCTAAATGGGCGGATAGAGAGAAATTTCTAAGATCTATTTGTGAGATTTATTTTTCATTTATTTTTTTGGGCTAAAGTTCTTTCAGTGCTCAAGCAGGAAAAGTTTGGCGAGTTGGCGTTTATAGGGGTTCTTCCTGTGCTCAAGGCAAAGCATAAAATTTTTTTTTTTTTTTTAGCCTTCGATTAGGTATATTTTTCTAAATTTTTTACTTCACATTACATTTAAGCTTCAGTTTTTTTTGTGTTTCTATATAGAAAAATAGGTTTTTCTGTAAACTAAAACCTATGGTTAGAGCAGTTAGTGTTTTTCTAACAGTTTTATGGACGTATAATTTTTTCCTCATTTTTGTTTGCTTTTTTGTTCAAACCTCATAGAAATAATTACCTTTTAAGTGTCTTTACAGAACGCAATTCAACTATTGCAAAAGTTTTTTTATTGTAATTTTTTATTTACTATTCGTTAGTAATAATTAATATGTTGTTCTGAAGAAGTTTGTTTTGACTAAAATCCTAAATAATTTTTTATTCAGTTTTTTTTGTCCAGAACTCCAAATCTGTTTATATCGGCTTAGTGATGTTAGTAGATATTTACTCAATTTTCTTTTTCTTTCTTCAGATCTGTTTACGAGAAGAGATTTTAAAGATTCATATTCAAGTTCTAAAGAGAAGGTATCCACTGAAGTTGTGTCAAATTTTGAGTTACTCTAATTTGTAGTTTTAAGTTAATATTATGTATCTATTAACTTATGATTATATGATATGAGAAATGCAAATAATATTATTTGGAAAGTTTTTTTATTTCAACTTTGTTTGTTGTATGACTCTGTGACATCTTTTTGTTTGTATATTCAAATTATTTTAGCTTGGATAGATAATTTTAAATTTTTTTCTAATTATTTATTATTTATGGTTATATTATTATATATTTCTTAGGTTAATTTTTACTTTTATTACGTGCTATTGAAATTTTAGTCATCTATATGTCACTTGAACCAATTGTTGAAGATAACATTAGTGAGGATATAATTTTGGAGATTATATATGAAGTATCATCTGGTAGTGTACAAAAAAATGTTGGGTTGAATGAAAATGATGTTGTGAAAGAAAATAAGATTATAGAACGAGATGTAGGGATATGTGAGCAGAAGGAAGATGCAAAATATGTCACTTGAACTAATTGTTGAAGATAACATTAATGAGGATATAATTTTGGAGACTGTATATGAAGTACTGTCTGGTAGTGTACAAGAAAATGTTGGGTCGAATGAAAATGATGTTGTGAAAGAAAATAAGATTGTAAAACGAGATGTTGTAGGGATATGTGAGCAGGAGGAAGATGCAAATCATGTTGCAATAAAAAAATGAAAGAAAATATCATCAGTTTGGTACGAGTTTAAGGAAGTGAAACTTGCTAATAGTCAGAAGAAAGGAGAATGCATTAATTGTAAGAGGACCCTCGCCATAGGAAGTATTAGGTCGACAACACAATTTAGATGTTATCTAGATTATTATGCGGCTAGAATTCGTTTAATTAAAAATCAAAAGGTACTTCATTTTCAACATAAGAAAATTAATTCTACAGCTAACAACTCATAATAGAGTGCCAGTTTGACAACATTTGCTTATGACAATTCTAAAGTTAGAGAGAGTATTGCACACTATATTTTGATCAATGAAAAGCCATTTTCAGTTGTGGAAGAGTTTAGTTTTATTCTTGTTTTAAAGACAATATCTCCCAATTTTTTGAAATACTCAAGAACGATAGCTCGTATTGATGTTTTATTAGTTTCTGAGGAGAAAAAAAATTTCAAAATGCATTGAAAAGCATAAATAGACTCATTTTTCCAACAGATATTTGGAAATAAAAAAATCAAATAATATCTTATATGATAGTTACAGGCTATTATGTGGATTCAAATTGGAAGTTACAGAAGCGTGTACTAAATTTTATACATTTATCTCCTCCTCACATTGCTACAGAAATAGTTGACACTTTCTACAAGTCACTCAATGAATGAGATTTATAGAACAAATTATTCACAATATCAGTTGATAAAAATGTGTCTAATAATGATTGTGCTATTAAACTCCTTAAAATATAATTTTTGTGGAAATAAGAAGTTATTTTTTGGTGAGAATATATTTCATGTTTGTTATTTTGTCCACATCTTAAATTTAATAGTTAAAGATGATATTAAAAGCATTGAGTTTGTAGTGGAGAAAATTCAATATATAGTTAACTTTTTAAATGCATCTAAAGACATATTACTTCAAATTGCTGATGTTGTTCTTTAGTTGCATTTGTCTACTAGAAAATTGATAATGAGTTATTCAACAAGGTGGAACTCAACCTATAATATGCTTACTGTGGTACTTCAGTTAAGGGAAGCATTCACTTCATATGATAAGAGGGAAGTTATTTATCACAACTGTCCAACATAAGATGAATTGATTAATATATATGTGTGAAATATTCTTGATTTTGTTAATGAAGAACCTAATATAATTTCTAATATTGAGTATTGAGCATCAAATTTATTTTTGTACCATCAAGAATGTCATAAATGATAAATTAATTTTTTCTGATAAATTTATAAAGAACATGACAATGAAAATAAAAGAAAATTTTAATAAATATGGAGGAGAATGTAATATTATCATGGCATTTAATGCTATTATAGATCCTAAACGAAATTTCTAATAATAGAATTTGCATATTCAATGATCCATGATAAACAAAGTGGCCAAAATATCTCATATGTTCGTACATTATTATATGAATTGTTCGAAAAATACACAACAAATTTTAATGGGGAAGCAAAAGGAGCTTCTGATATATTTCGATTAAAAAATGAGGGTTCAAATGATAAAAGTAATTATTCAAGAACTTCTCAGAAATGTGCATCAAATAAATATAGTTGATGGCTTGATTTCGCAGAGTATGTATCCGAAAAAACATGTAAGAAGCCTTCTGAATAGAATTTGGAGTAGTTAGTGTTCAAGATAATTATCCAAATCTGATTTAGTA